CCCAAAACCCCAAAACCCCAAAACCCCAAAACCCCGCGAACACAATAAAAAGTTGAAAAATATTATTAAAATAACTTGAATAAAGTAGAAGAAAGTATTATGGAAAATTATTTAGAATTATTGCCTGGTGATTTTGCTCAGGATTTGACTGGGAAACCATTTTTGGGGGAGACATATCCTTCAGAATTTATGACTGCTCTAGGGGAATGCCGAGTGGAGGCCTTTACTGATCCCTTTGAATTCTTACAATGTACTGAAGAGGTTTTGAGAGTGCAAGAAAGTTCGCAATATAATGAAGTCAAGTGAATTCAGAATTCATTTACTGAAACTAAATCTTCTTCAAACAGGAATCCTAAAAAGCCTGGGAGAAAGCCTGAAGTTACTGGGCTTACCTGAAGAAAGGATATAGCTCTCAAGGCTCTTCTCAGAAACATCAGAAGATTCCACTGGGAAAAATTGAAGATCCATACTCAATTCACAACTAAAAGAAGGCAGTCAAAATCTGAATGCGATGCATTTTTGGGGGAGTACATTCAGAAGGAACTTGGAGTTGAGCCTAACCAAAAGTTCATTTCAACACTCAACCTATACCTGTTCTCAGAGAGACCCAGGCCTGGAGAAGCCAAAAATCTATTCAGAGAAGTCCTGTACACATACAGTGCTGCTAAGCTCAACAATTGCTTGCTAAACAAGTACTTCAGATGTCTTGTTTACCACTATATCTTCGAAATGGGTCCTAAAATATCAGATTCAAACTCAAAGATAGCTATCCAAATGATGGAGAAGAAGTGTAACGATTGTGAGATCTAAGGCTAGTATCAGAGGAAAAACACCTGACTCGCCATATTGGCTTATGTAAACCATAATTAGTCACCAATAAAAAATTCTAAAAATTCTCTTACCTTTCAACTTTGGGAGATTTGGGTTAAAACTTTGATACTAAGTTATCACCGATTTACAGTTTAGTACTACAATTAATAATGTTAGTGAGATATGCCCTAAAATGCCATGGTTTCTGGCATCTGAACCTCCCAGCTGGCTCTTCTCCTCTCAGGGATGCTTAAGCATCCCACTCACTGAGAATCGGTTGGGTTTAATGCTATTTCAATGACAATATTTAATAATAACCTTATCTCCTAGTTTGGAAGAATTAATAATAAAATTAATTGCAATTAGGAATATTTTCTTTGATAATTTTCTGCTATATTTATATCTATTTTTAATAAAAACATCACGAAGTGTACAAAGTTAACCCTTATTTTAGCTCTCTGGACTTACAAACCCTTTTATAATCTCTACCTTCTGAGGTGGGTACTTTACTAAATCAAGAAATCAGAATTTAAGAAGATTTTTTTACATTTAACACAGTTTGGAATTCACGATGAAGTCTGAAGTATGATTATTAGCTCTTTCAGCATGAAAATTCATTAGGTTATTGAGAAGTTATTACTCAGGTCATTTCTAAACCTACTTAATTTTTAGTAGTATGTCTTTTTATATAAACCTGAATGGATATCACCAGCACAAAATGTTGAAATGCTATCTATTTGATGTACTGAATTTTTAGGCAATTTTGATAATTTTTTGGGCTTCTAAAACCATCTGCTTCATAAAAAATTTTCCAATAAATTGTTCATATTCGTAGAAGAGTTCTTAATTCCGAAAAAAATTATGATAAGGAAGGTAAGAGATATTATAATCTATTAAGCGGTGTGGATCTTCAAGAAAGTTATGAATGCTCTGCAAAGAGCAATTTTGCATGATAAAACAGGCTCTCCTTAACTTTTAGGGCTAAAACACCTCCTTTCACATCATATCTCAGGGCTGATTATTTCATAACTTTCTCACATAAGTTCTATTAAAATATCCCTTAATGTCTAAAGCGATGAATTGGGGCTTCATTTTATGCCTGAATTTTTTCTTAATTAATTGCTTTCTTTCTAGATTTCCCCACTTAATACCTCCATCGGGGAGAAGAGTTAGCCCTATTTGGAGGAATTCTAAAGAAAAGTATGAAGAGTTATTACAGAGGAAGACTACCTTGAGGGTACTTTTACCGATCAATTTTTTTGAATTTTTTAGAACAAATTACTCACACAAATTTTGAAAAAGTCTCCGAAATAATAAATTTAGAAATAACCGTTAAAATTAACCTGCTTGAAAACAAAAGAGTACGGCAGAGACCATTATCCAACTAGCTTCCATAGAGATTTCAAGTAAAGTATAACCTAAGAGGAGAATTCTTCTACCTTTTTATGCTAGTTTTAAGGTAACAGTCTGCTCAAAAATTGCTAAATTTTAGCTTTCTGTTAAGAAGAAGGTTTTCATGAATTTTCCATATTGTAGGTTAAGCATAGAAATTAATTGTAGCCTCGCTAAGGAGAGTAACTCATTGTTCTAATTACACCTTACTCTTTGTTCTTAATTCAAATAAGTACTTTAGAATGAGACTTAGAGAATAGAGTTTCATATCAGTTTTAAATACTCTGCTGTTATTATCATGCAGAGTGGCTTGGCAAGATTGAAATCTTATTAAAATCACTCTAGCTTTACTATTTGTTATTCCTTTCTCTTTTTAATCATATGTTTTAAGGCATAAATGCCTTCAAGAATATAAGAAAAAAATTTATCCATAAGAAACTTGAAAGCCCGAACGTCTGCAGATGATTAAATTGATAATAGTTTACAACTTGCTCTACTTTCTAAGAGGTTTGAGAGTAACCGATCAAATTCTGAACCCAATTGCACTGACCTGATTACTGAAAAGAGCCAAAAGAGAGTTTAACGGTCCAATTTTTTTCGTCTGTGGAAATAGTGAAGACCCATACCCTATAAATTTCTTAAGACCTTCCTAGAGATGTGATTGTTGTATGCATAGGCTATCACTAATGATATGCTGACCTATGTGTTCAATTCTAACACCCCTTAGACCTTATACTACCCATAAGTTGGAATTCTCCAGGTCATATTGAAAAGACTCCATATTTCTCCGTGTTGTTTAAATATTATTAAGTTTTCTTAAAATTTATCTAAAAATAATCATAATTCAACATGTAACGAGAATTCAGAGCGGACTCTAACGAATTCTATTGTCAGACATAAACTTTTGGAAGATACTTTAAGAAAATGATCATGGGATTTATGACAAATTTGTTTGAACTTATGGGTTTAGGAGCACAGGAGAAGCTTTAACCTATCGAATTAGAGGTCACCTAATTAACCATACATGCTGATGCAAATAAAAGTGATTAAAAATACTCTATATAGCATCCATGATTTCATAATTGAGCTTCTAGGAATACCTTGTCGGTCACCTATAACCTTAATACTCTTCTTTACAAAGATGTGTCAGAAAAAGAATGCTGCATCCTTCCAGCCGTCTCATAAGCTCGTTCATGTAGGTTTAACTGATGCTATTAAGTAATTTTTCCGTCATGATTTTTCACAAATTTTTAAGCCTTTAGGGTAATTAAAAGAACCAAATTTCCGTGCCAACTCTACTTACCTACCTGTATGATCTCTATTGAAGAATTTCAGAGGGAGGGTACTACCAGAATATAGAAAGAACGGAGCCTAAGGGCTCTGAGTTAGGTCTTCTTGGCCATCTTTCAGTCTGAGGTAAAGAAAAATTCAGTGCTTGATAGAGAAAAGTTAGCAAAGTTATTGATTAATTCACGCATCTGTGGGCTTTATGTATTGGAAATTTTGTCTAGTTGATGCATGTAGGGAGTGCCACAAATTACCTTGGGTTAAACACTTTTAATACAAATGAAAGTTCAGAAAATACGTCTTAAAAAATAGAGATTATTTGGTGTCGTATTCCTCTTAAGCTTGATCTCTCGAGTAGGAGAGTCTCATTATTGCACTACTAAAGTTCTCTAAAATCATCAAATTAACATTTTAAGAGCTTTCTTTTGAGGTTTTAGCGTTACAGATGTAGTAGATGAGAAATAGTTGACCGAAAACAGCAAAATTCTTAAAATTATATCATCATCCATTAACTTTAGATGAAGCCTACAACGAGCGATGTATATGAAGAAAGAACTCTCCAAAATTAAGGAGTTGTTACAGCAAGGTGTTAGTTCTCTTTCCAGTTTGCTTTACGAAATTTTTTCACTTTTATAGAGTTCATTTTTTCACCTTTTTTTATCTAAAGTTTTGAAATCTAATTTCTCGTAAATTCGTATTTATAGATAATATGACTTCTATTTCGATAGTATGAGTAAATTCGGCCTTTTACGTCCTTAAAATAAAGCTTAAAGGAAGGAAAAGATTATTTATACTAAAACTTTCACCGATATATGCCTATTCTTCCTCGTATATCAGATCCATTAAGGTTTATGAAGAATAAACCTTGAACGCTTGTCTTTTTAAGACACTATAATGAGCTTCTAAGGTTTCATCCCCAATGAAATCAGCCATATTTTGAAGAAACAGACAATTCAGGGCAAATATTATGCTCTCATTCTATCTGTATGCCCCAAATCAGATGCTTATTTTCTCTCTGAAAGTTAGGTTAGAAACCCATAAATAACCTACGAAAGTTATAACTGAATGTATAAAATTCTTAACACTATTATTTCCTTGGTTGAAAAGGGCTCGATCTTTGTTATGTAGAGTGCATGGTTCCAAAATTAATTTGGAAAGTGAAATAAATATTCCTTAAACCCTTTCTAATCGATAAATTTTGAGCCCTAGAGAATAATTTTCTATCGATACTCGGATCTAGAGTCCAGTACCAATGAGTAACCTTCTAAGCACATCTGTGAGAATTTATTGACAAAAGGAAGCTTCCTTCTTTGCCCCAACGCGTTTTAGTAGTCCCAATATTAACCATTTTTCCGGTTTATGCCACATTGAAGAATTATTCAATCGATGAGAATGAGCCAGGGGTTTTGGGGTTTTGGGGTTTTGGGGTTTTGGGG